GCTGGAAAGATTCTGCTCCGGGCAAAAAAAAAAAAAAATCCACCCTGATTGTATCACCCACATGTAAAATAATCTGTTTATAATAATACTACCAAAAACATAAGCAAGCAAAAACATAGACATAATGACATTTAGTTAAAGGCACAATATGTTATTTTTGCCGCTAGAGAGCGCGTATTCAAAATAAACAAATAGACAAAGGCATAGTTTGATGACGGTGTGACTGAGTGTGGAATCATGAGAGTTGTCGTCTTCATCCCCACAGCCGAAGCAATCTGACGGGACTCGGGCAGAAATCATGCTCAGCTAATGATTTATTAACGTAGTAGAATGAAGCAGGGTGAGGCTGAAAGCCGTCAAAGCGAAACGAAGGCCACTGAACGAGCGCGACACATGGCTCGAAAGCAGCGGAGCTTTTATTATGCCACAGTCGACCGCTACCGCTCCTTCCGGTCGTGTTAATCATACTAGATACATTTGAAAGTTCTGTTATAATGCTACTCTGTGCAGTCGTCACCGGCCTATTAAAACGCACAACATATTAAAGTGTCTTCGGTGTTTCCATGTTTTCTACAAAACCGGAAATCGAGGTGTTCTGACGTCATTAGCAGGCGACACAATGACACTATAGAAACGGTCCGTGTCACTAGTTAAAATTGCTTATTTCTCTGGATTTAAACATTCTTCGAAACATTTGGGATAATGTAAGTACACAAGTCAGCAAAACATATAACACTGTTCTAGTGGTTTTTGGATATTTTAATAAAAAAACTTACATATTGTGCCTTTAAACGACTGTGAGTTTTCATGTTTTGTTCTGCGTTTAACCTAACGTTAAACAAGAGACCAACTCATCTGAGCTCCCGAGAGCGGTGCATTGTGGGTAATGCGTCCCTGTGCACGTTTCGTATCCAGCATGGCAGGGAAAAACAAGAGGTATGTTCCATTCTTAGCTATTTAACCTCGCGTACATAATCTTATATTAGTGCTTGAGTTGGAGAACATTGAATTTAAATGTAGATCGAGTTGTCAGAGCTCAGTTCACTTCATAAGACTCTTGTCTGATTATATATTTGACGATAGCTAACGTTAGCTGGTTTTAGCCACTGATGAACTAAAAATTCAGCAGGCTCGGGAGATCAGCATATATTAAACATTTATGGGGAGAACATGATCGTCTTGACAGTAAATATTTAGTAGTTAAGTCTGAACTGATTTTTGCATTTTCCACCACAATCAGCACCAAAATGAGTTTTGGAATAGTTATTTTGGAGTGTACTAAAGCTACACGTGCTTATTAAGAGTTGGATGAATATTATGCTAATCTTCAGAAAATAAACTTTTGCTTTTGTAACTTCAGTATTCAGTAACTTTCTAAATGTAATTTCTAAATCACATTCTTTACGTTTTGACTTTACAGTGGAAGGGAAGTTGTCTAAATATGCTTCTAAAAAATGTTTTTGCTAGTAAAAAAGCATTACGCATTAAAAAATGAACAGCACTTTTGATAAAAGGCCACATTAATATTAAGAAAAATCTGTATTATTTGGGAAATATTTAGTTTCTATTACGTTATATCATTACTTTTTTTACTCGCAGCAAGTGCTGTGATAAATGCGTTATTTAAATTAAGTTTTATTTTAATCAATACATATATATCGAATTAGTTTTATTTTAATAAATTGTATATCTTTATATTAATCTATTTTTGTTTTAATCAAATGTAGCTATTTTAATTTAGTTTTTAATATTATTATTTTTTTTACACTGTGTTTGTCTGAACTTTTCCACAGACCCCCTAGCACTCCCTTGTCGCCCTTGGGGTCCCCGGACCCCAGTTTAAAAACCCCTAATCTAGAATAAAATACACAAATACATTTACTTTATGTAAAAGGGTGCTTTGTAAAGCATTAATGTAGAAGTACATGTAAACAAAACAAGCTAACATAACAACAAACAAACATAATAGATGTACTAGGGTAGGGACTAGCTGAACATACTTACTGAATGCTTTAGTGATGTGCCATCTATTTTTGTGCAGGAACTTGAAGGATCTCAGCGTGGATGAGTTCATGTTATCTGGGTTTGATTCCGATGAGGAAGATGCTTGTGAGGATGAGGAATCAACACAACAGAAAGGGAAGATGAAGAAACCTGCACCTCAGAAGACGTAAGTGTGGCCTTAACATTTTAATGGTAATTCCAGTGTCCCATTTTTATTCCCATTCTCTGCTACATTCTACAAATGTTTGGTGAGTATATGCTATTTAGGGGTGGGAATCTTTAGTCACCTCACAATCCGATCCGATTCTGATTCTGGGAGTCACGATCTGATTCCAGAACGATTCTTGATCTACTTTTCCCCCCCTTATTAATTAATTAGTTTACCATCTTGAGAGTTTTAAAATCCTTACATTTACATCGCCTTACATAAGTAATTAAATACTTTTTAAAATAATTACAATTTACTTTTTTTTTTAAACAGTTATATGTTAATAATAATTAATTATTATTAATAATGTAATTTTAAACTAATATAATTCAAAACGTACACGCAAGTAGCAAATAATAAAGAGGAGCATAGAAACATATATTACAAACAACAAACAAAGAGTGCTTTCAGTTTGTCTGAGATTATCTGAACGTTTTCCATTCAAGAACTGTGAGTGATTTTTCATCTTTAATGTTGTTTTTTACTATGACATCATAGACAGCGGGAGATCTATTAAGCTGCATTCACGCACGGAAGTAATATGGTTTGTCCTGTCCGTTTAATCCCTTGACACATAACTTGGCTGTGTTTACATTCATTTTGCATCATAAAACCATTTTGGGACGCAAGTGCATTAAACCACTTACACGGAGTTGTGCACAGCCGCATGCGCGAGCAGTCTTCACAAACAAAGCGTGCGTCAGCATTTGAAATTGAAAGCAGCCTTCTGTTAGTGAGGTTCATATTTTAAATATATAAGTCCACTGCATTCCAAACCACATAAATGATGGCGCTCATGTTAAAAAGTAGGTGTGCAGCGAAGTAGAGTAGAGCATGGCTCTCTTTATTTTTCTCTTTTCCCGCTCTTTCTCCCTCTCTCTCTCTTTATCTGTGCTCTATAATTTCAAGCTTCCTGTTGCAGTAGCCTCTGAGCGTATCAGGTTGGGACCATGCGCCATCACTTCCTCCTCTGTCCCGCAGGCCGACACCACATCCGTTCTTTGCACAGACGGCCATCCATGAGCACATACACACACACACCTCGCTGGTTCTAGTTGACCTCGTCAAGCACTTTCAACTGCTCTTAAATGCGGAAGCGCAGAGAGAGTTATGGGAGAAGTCACAGCCCTGTACCAAAGTACTCTGGCTGACTGTTTGCTGAACTAACAGCCTCTTTCAGTTATTAGTTATGGAGAAAGTATGGTGAAAAGTATTCTTTCTAATTTGTTGCCTGCAAAAATGTGGATTATGAGAAATAATTTTATATTATATAAAAACCACCAAGTTACTTTTACCACACGGCACATTTTTGAGCACATTGTTTTGTGCTTCCAGATTTAATAAAGTTATATAAAATATCAAATTAAATTTTTGGGAAATCTGATTCATTTTAATGAATCACTCCCGTTCAAAAGTTTGGGTTATGAAAGAAATTATTTTATGCTCAGCAAGGCTGCATTTATTTGATAAAAAATACAGTGAAAACAGCAATATTGTGAGATACTGTTACAATTTTAAATAACTGTTTTCTATTTCAGTATATTTAAAAGTGTAACTTATTTTTGTGATGCAAAGCTGAATTTTCAGCATCATTACTCCAGTCTTCGGTGTCACATGATCCTTCAGAAATCATTCTGATAATGCTGATTTGGTGTGCAAGAAACATTTCTTATCATTATTAATGTTGAAAACAGTTGTGCTGCTTAACTTTTTCAGAAAGTTCTGAAATACTTTTGTAACATTATAAATGGTTTTGCTGTCACTTTTGATCAATTTAACGCAGCATTGATGAATAAAAGTATTAGTACGTATTATTAATTTATTTTCTTTCTTTTCAAATTTCTGCTTGTCTGTAAATCCAAAATAAAGAGCAGAGAGACAACCAACAACTGCTTAAATGCACCTGATAAAGGACTGGATAAAGTTTGCCCCTCCTCCTGACCACAGGAGTGTAAATATAAAAAAAACATGATTAATTTGAGACCTTGCAGGTCTCTTTGTAGCAAAACATTTAAATGTTCATTTTAAATGCTATGCTGCTGTTTATCACTAGGTTTTTGATTTGGTTATGTAAATTAGGGTGTACCTAGTTTTATTTACTGAAAAATCAGTAAATAAAGTTAAGTTTAATATAGTTACTCTATTTGATAACTTGTACCCTATTTGTTTTGGTGCTGTATAAATGCTGCTTGTCTGATTTAATTTTATAAAAAAGATTTTTTTTAATAAAAACACAAACTTTGGCCCCTGAAATAGATTCAGTTATGGCTATATTGATAATCATATATACTGTGATTATTTTTCTCGTACTACTATTTCAAAATACTTCAGGTCCTTGTGTCTATTGTTTTATCCGTTCATTCATATAATTTCTTCATAAAGATCAGATATGTAGATCAGTTAATGAAGAAGTAGGTGATCTGTATGTGTTAGCCTCAATACACTTATCAATGGTTGCAAAAGGGTTTAACTACTGGGACGTTTCAGAAAAGCTTCACCAACACTCATCTGCACACCTGATTTAGATTGTATACTTGAAGTTACTATAAACCCTTGAGTCATTCTCTGGTTTGTGTTTGTCTGAATAATCAGTGGGCTGCTGCTGTAATCTTGTCTTATTTGTGTGTTTCTGTGCACGTATGTCTGTGATGCAGTGCTCTGATGTATCTGTTTGTTCACTCTGCTCCTCAGATCCTCCAGCGAGAAGACTTCAATAAGAAACCAGGCCGCATGAGTATAAAGCCCATCAATTTTGCAGTGATCCTCAAACTCAGCAAGACCAATCTCCAAGAGAAGGCTTATAAGGTGACACATCCTGTACTTTGAGTTTCAGACCTTCATAAATTCTTTGTTCTTTCAGTTTATGACTACGTATGTATACTAAGCCTGTCAGAATTAATGTGTTATCACATGTGGTTAATTGAAAACTGTTTAAATCGTATAATACTTTAAAGGGTACTTTAATAGTACACCCAAAAATGTACATTTTCTAAAAGCCTGTGGACTTAATTCCTTCAGTCTTCTGAAGTTATATGATTTATGTGAGAAAAAGACTGACATTTTTAGAGATTTTCTCTAAAAAACAAACTTTACTTTCATACTTGCTTTTCTTGGTGCTTTCATGGGAGTTAATAGGAAACGTGGTAATGTAATTTGTTGATCAATTAATCAGTTGATCAATAATTTAAAGTAAAATTTAAAACGTTTAAAAAGCTTAAATATAACTATTTTAAAAAGCTTAAACATTTAAATTGATTAACAGCCCAAATTCATACTGAACTTTTTTTTTTTAAAGGTATACTATGATTTTTTTCTCTGTTAAATCTCTTTTTCTGACCAGGGTTTCATTTATTTGATAAAAATCCAGTAAAAATAGTGATATTTTGAAATATTATTACAATTTAAAATAATTGAATGATATAAATAATAAATATAAATTTGAATATAATTTAAAATTTATTCCTGTGATGGCAAAAATGATTTTTTTAGCATCATTACTCCAGTCTTCAGTGTCACATGATCCTTCAGAAATCATTCTAATATGCTGATTTGCTGCTCAAGAAATATTTATTATTGTTACAGATGTTGAAACAGTTGTGCTGCTTCATATGTTTGTAGAAAAAAAAAATTTTTTCAGGATTCTTTGATGAATAGAATTTTCAAAAAGTTTTGTAACATTAGAAATGTTTTTACTGTCATTTTTGATCCATTTAATTAGTCTTTCTGAATAAAATCTAATTTCTTAAACATTTTTAAAAAAAGTAAAAATTTTACTGACCCCAAAATTTGAACGGTAAATCCAAAATAATGAGCAAATAGTCATATTAAAATGAAACAAAAGACAATCACTGAAATGCATCAGATAAAGGACTGGATAAAGATCGCCCCTCCTCCTGGGCCAGGAGCCTGTCATGACTTCATGCTGACTGGCTGTAACTGGATTGAGGTTAGGAGATGAAAGCCTGAACACGCTGCTACACAGGCTAAAGCGCCGCGCGCCGTGTCGCTGCCAAGAGGATTGCCACACAAGCTGCAGGGATTATCCTGCTCTCCTGGTTGGCACGGGGAAGCTTTCCAGTAAGTTCACCCAGGCCAAGACACCGCAGCCACAGGCCCCCCGAGACGCCGCTCCACCCTTGCTGTCTGGGACCTCTGTCTGACTTACTAAATCTTAAATATTTCTTGTAAGGGCAGTTACGAGCAGGGTTTTCCCGTTTCCATAGCGGAGGAATGTGTTTGCAAAGGCTGCAGCTGTGAATTTTAGGTAGGGCAGAGGATTTAGGTCCGATCCCAGCACTAAACCGGGTCAGGATTAGTGTGCATGCTTGTATGCCAGGTGTTGAGTAGAGATGTGAGAAAACTGTGGGGGGCAGGGCTGCCATTTCTGTGTAGGGAAAACTGATTGACTGCTGTTTTTTCCATGTGTGTTACCTCAGGAACAGGTGTCATTTGTAATGGACGTAGTGTTACTGAGACTGGGTTTTAATTTTTATTTTTGTGTTAGACTGACACAAAAGTTTGAGCAATAAGCAAAAAACTCTGCCAAACTCTGCCTCCCTTCTGTCTCCAACTTGAGACAGGTTTTTATGTTATCCATTAAAATGGATTACATTTACACTTCCGTTCAAAAGTTTTTGTTTCTTTGATAGAAATTAATGCTGTTATGAAGAAAGGGTGGGTTAAATTGATCAAAAGTGACTGTGAAGACATTCAATAAACAATCTTATAAACAAAAGATTTCAATTTTATATAAATGCTTTTGAAAACAAACATTTTAAACATTCATAATAATAAAAAAAAGATTCTTGAGAGCAGTAAATCAGCATATTAGAATGATTTTTGACGGATCATGTGACACTGACGACCGGAGTAAATACAGCTTTGCCATGACAGGAATAAATGACACTTTAAAATATATTAAAGTAGAAAACGGTGATTTTAATTTGTATTAATGTTTCACAATATTATTTTTTACAGTATGTTGGATCATATGAATGCAGCCTTGGTGAGCATTAGTGACTTCTTTTAAAAACGTAAAACATCAAATGGTTTTGAAGATTTACTCAAGCAAATTAACAGGGTTAGTTGAAAATACCACTGGCTGTTTCCCTGTGTAACAAAAGTTTGTTTTTAACTCAACTAAATCCCAACATTCATAAAAATACAATGCTTACAGTGCCGAACTCTGAACAAAGATGTTTATCTAAAAATTATCCAAATTCAACAATTGAAAATGAGCGTAAATGGATGCTGTTGAAGGCCTGAACAAATTCTACGCAAGTGTGTGAACTCAGACAGTCCTAGCTGTCCAAGTCCAATATTTAGTGTTGAATTCATGACGCAGGTACATGTTACGTTGTAAACTCTTCTTTCTCTCAAGTGTGCTACCGTCAGGACAGGTTCACACAGAATGCGCTTCTGCATTTTAAAACGTGAGGTGTAGGGTAGTGAAATGAAAGAAAAGAAAAAAGCAAGATTTTGAGACATATATGGATATATTGTAACGTAGGCACAAAATGTAAGCTTTTTTTATTAAAATATCCAAAAACCACTAGAACAGTGTCTCATGTTGGTCTCCTCAGCTGAAAGCGTTCTTGAAGGAATGCAAAGTGGCCAATTACTGCAAGCAGATGCGCCAGCTGCTGGAGAAGATACAGGAGAACTGCAGCTACATCACAGGGCGAAGGCAGAAAGCTGCTTTTGGCGTAGCTGATGTCACAGCTGTGGTGAGTACTTTTTTTTTTTTTTTTTTACCAGGAACGGACCCAAATGTTGTTGAAGTCAATATGAAATTAAATGATCTCATGATCTTTTAGCCAAATATAGGCCTTGCATCAAAAAGCCAAAAAGATGGGGAACAATAATATTAAACATTAATTTAAAAGTTCAACAAAAACCAATAAAATCCCGTTAGATGCAACATGCAGTCAAATCCCGCCTTGCATTATTTTTCACAATATTTTTTCTCTTGAAAATTCCTCATCACTTTAGATGAGTAAACTGCCGTTCCTAAATCAATTTTATAATTCATGATATTATATATCAATTAAATAATTTTTATATTTATAAAAAAAAATTACAAATACTTTCCATTTAAAATAGTTAAAATTATTATTTACATTTATTTCTGCATTTGTACTTTTTGTACATTCTGTGCTGCAGTTATTTTAATATCACTGAGATGTTATACTTTTTATTAATATCTTTCGTTTTTTTTATTTTGATGTTTTCAGATTTTATTTTTAGTTAAAATTTTTGAAACTGTTATTTTTGTCATTTTTATCAGCTTTT